GGCCCCTCTTACAGCTCCAGTTCCCCCTTTTCCAGTCACTGCTCCCTTCTCTTAGCCCTCTGAACCTAGGGACGGTAACTATTTTGCCTTCCCACTGCTGCCGGCCCAGGGTCCTTCACCCTCAGTTGTTAGTTTCCTGAGCCCTGCCCACACCTCTGTACACAGCCCCTTCATTAAACTCTCCTCGGCCTCCCTTTTGAATGTGCTGGCTATTTCCTCCTGAACTCTGACCCATACCAAGCCCTATTCTTGAGTGTGGCTTACAAGGCCCTCATCCTTCATCATTGCACCCTTCCCACATATAGCTTGTCCTCTGTCACCTGGGACCCGTCACCATGCCCTATCATACTCCAAGCTGTTTCCCACCTCCATGTATTGCTTCTGCTGTGCCTTCTCTCCTCTGGGCCTTTGCTCATACTGGCAGCAGGGACTTAACTCTGGCGTGTGCCCGTCGGTCTCCCTGCTGGCGTGTGTGGGTGCTCTAGGGCAGCAGGAGAAAGATCCCCCTTGGATCTGACACAAAGCCTGGTATAGACCCTTTTGTTGACTCAAAGTCATGACTGAAAGGCAATTCTTTCCTTCAAATGCCATCCCTGTGCAGCGAATCATTAGCATATTATCTCCATTGGATGGAAAAATCCCCGGGCACCAGGACAGTGTTACTGAGGCCTCTGTGCTGGTCAGAAGAATGGGACATAACTTGAAGAATTTGAGATAGTGAGACCCGGCTATAAGAATGGCTTGGTTCCTAGCATTTCCAAACCTTGCTTCCTTAAGCAAGATGACACATTAGGCCAGACTTCTGGGTGGGCTGGGGAGGCTTTTTTCTGGTCTATGAGAGACTTGCTCACTAAGGTCAACTGCATCTCCACTGAGATGACTTACTTAAGCACCTCATCCAGTGGGGCTCAAGCCTGGCCGCAGGCTAGAATCGCCTGGAGAGCTTTAAAAACTACCGAGGCCCAGGCCCACCCCCGGAGGTCCTGAGTTAATTGGTCTGGGCAAGGGCCTGGGCACTGGGACTTTTGACAAAGTTCCTCAAGGGATCCTACCGTGCAGCCAGGCTTGTCTAATCATGTCATCCAGCTCAGTAAAGGAAGACCCACGAATTCTTCTCCTCGTCCTTTAGGAGTCCACCGTCTGACCAGGGACACACACGTCATCTGTGGAGTCTGGGCAGAGATCTCGGTGTCTGTGGGTTCCGTGGGCATCAGTGGCCGAGGCTGTGAGACACTTCCAAGTCAAGTCCAGAACTAGCAGACTCCCTGCCCGAAGCCTCCCTTGGGGGGTGTGTGTGTGTGTGTGTGTGTACACTACCCACTGATGTGTGTTGCAGCAATAGTGCAGAGAGGCAAACTCAGAAGCCTTGACCTGGACCCAGACAGTTAAGGCCCGCGAGGGAGGTGGGCAGTGAGAGGTCCCGATGTGCCGCAGGAGGGGCGGACCCGGCGTGGATCACAGAACAGGGGCCCTTCTCAAGAGGATGTCACTACTCAGCTGCAGCCAACACCACCATAAAGGAATGTGGGCCTGCTCTTAACACATCTCCCTACTTTGCAAGAGAAGTCAGAAATCTGGCTTTTCTGTTAAATTACTTGATTTTTTTCTGAGTTGGGCTCAATTTTATTAAACACACACACGCACTAAATGGGACGACAGCACATGTGCAGAGGGAACGGCAGACCAACTCCTTGTGTTTGGGACTAATGGTGGAGATTTCCACTCCTTGTCAGGGACCTGAGGAGTAACGCCGCATGGTCCCCGTCCCTTTGCTGCGGTGTGGCCGTCCTCCTGTTGAGGTTGCAGCTGGAGGAGGTCTGAGGCGAGGGCACAGCTGTCCTGGCACCAGCTGGTCGCCATGTGTTCTTGCTACCTGCAGCCACTGTGGCTGTAACATCGCGAGGTGATGAAATCTTTGATTCTTAGTGAAAGATGGCCCCCAAAGAAGCCAGCTGCTGGCACGAGTGAGGAGAAGAAGAGCAAGGGAAAGAGGGATGGCTTTTATCTGGAAAGTCGGAATGTTAGACGGGGTGAACTGGGGAGCTCGGCAGGGTCAGAGCCGTGGGGACCGTGCCTACAGTGTGCTCTGAAACAACGGGACTGTTTCAGCAAGTGCCTCGTAAGAAACGGGTCAAGGAGAGAAGCCAAACCTCAGAGAACGTGCCAAGGATGGGAGGGGGCTGGGTTACCAAGGGCACTGGCCCTGGGGAGCGGCCAGGAGGCTCCCAGGATGTCTCCAGGGAGAGGCTTTCCTCGGGTGTGTGTGTGTGTGTGCGTGAGGGGGGTGGCCTAATACACAAGGAGCCCTGGAGACATGTCACATATTCGCAGCCAAACTGAGCTGGAGCCCGGGGCAGAGTGGCAGTGCCGTGGCTCCCGACCTCAGCTCAGCTCACTGGGACACAGAAGCTCGGCATGGAGAAGGATGGGACGGCAGGAAGTCACCCCACCCAGAAAGGACCCACCACTCACTCCCTTTCACGTGTTTGGCTCTCTCTCATTTTTCCAGAACTCAGTGTCTCCCTAGAGGCCTTCCTTGCTCACTCTCAGAAATGGGGTCCTCTGCTCCCCGCTCTCTAGCCCCTACCCAGCTCATCTCTTCCCTCCATGTGTCATTGGTCTCCCCCTAAGAATGTGAGCTCCAACAGAGCAGGGCCACAGCCCTTCCTTCCTGTCCCCAGGCAGTGCTGGGCACACACAAATGCCCAACAATACCTGCATCCAAGCTGGACACTGGTGCTGAAACTGGGAGCCCATAGTTGAGAGAGGCAGAGTCCTCATCCCCCGGTCCAGCCCCCACAGTGTGTAGAGGAGGAAGCGACTTACCCAAGGTCACAGCATATAAGTGACAAAGCTGAGACTCAAACCCACGCCTCCTGACCCCAAAGCCTGAGGCTGCACCTCTGCAGGAAGCTGCCTCCCACAATCAAAATGACAGAAACCTGCTGGAGGCTGGGCCCAGCCTCCAGCCCCGAGGTGAGAGCAGGAAGAACACTGCCCCCTAGGGGCAGGGGCAGTGAGTCTGGTTCCTTTGGTCTGTCCTCCCCAAGGTTGTCTTCTCTTAAAAAGCAGGTGTGGAGAGTGCCTCTTCCTCTAGGAAGCCTTCCCTTCAGGCCCTGTCTCCCCCGCCCCCTTCATGAGCCCCCTCTCATTTTATTAGGCTGCATTGTAAATGTCTCCCCTGGGGCTGGGACACACCTGCCTGGGCTCTCCGCGGAGGCTGGCACAGTGAGTGCTGGTGGCCCGTGCTGCTGGGTGAGTGTCGTGCAGTCCTGACCCAGACCAGCCTGAACTGCTCCTGACCTGCTCCCAGCTCCCAGCCTGGCTAAGACGCACACTCGCCCTTCAGGAATTCGCACTGCTCCTTGGTGACAACATGCACTTCCAAAGTCACAGCCAGCCCCACTTTGGGTCCACTTTGTGACTGTTGTCCCATAGGGTTGACCCTGTGCCCCGTGCAGAGCCACCCTTTGGACATCACGGGGTTAGGAATTGGACCTGGTTTTCCACCATCACGGCTGGCTTTGCACAGACCCAGGACTCAGGCACACTCGCTCTTCTGGGGCATTCGCTCTTCTTTGTAAATGACTAGAGTTTGGGCTCAAGCGGGGACAAGACAGAAGACACGAGAAGCACCTGGAGAAGGATTCACATTCCTGTGTACTGAGGTCTGGGGAGGCACCAGCCAGGTCATGGAAGAAGCCCACCCAGCCCCTCCCCAAAGAGCATTTAATACACAGCTGACGGACTGAACGACAAACTTTATTAGAAACGCTCCTCATTCATCAGTCAAATTCACATTAAAGTGGGGGGAGGCAGTGCCGTCTGGGGCTCTGGTATCCCACTGCTGTGACAATTTCCAGTTAACAACGAGTCTGGGCAGAGAGCGTCGGGAACACATGAGAGATGCCCAACAGTGGCAGCGGCGGCAGCAGCAGCAGCGTCTTCCACGAGAGGACCCGGCTCCCAGCGGGCGGAGAGGGTGCCTCCCACATCCCCCGTCCAGTTACAAGGCTGCCCCCAAGGCCCCAAGCTGATAAATTAACAGCACAGCACATCTGAAACAGAAACAAACTCGTACAGTCTCCTAAAGTGAAAAAATAATTCGCTCAAATAAAGCTTTGTGGCAGCCAGGCTGCCTCCTGAATGGATGGTTGCCTGGAGCCCCTCAGCACCCCAGGAAGGCTCCCCAGCCTGACGACATCACCCACTTGGGTGTCACAATGCCCCCAATTCCCCTCATAGCACCTTTGGACCAAGTACTGCCCTCACCACACTCCTCTTTTAAAATGCAACGCTGCTTAAAATAATAATACTAAAGGATATACTCCGACCCTGGGTGAATTAGTCAGACTCAGCTTCCCTGAATAGAGGTGCCTGGAGCATCTGGAGAATGTGGGGGCAGGCAGGGCGGCCCTTGGAAGGGAGGTAAAGGACGTTCACAGAGGTGAGCTCCCAGGGTCTAACACCACTTTGTCCACTTGCCAGTTCTGCAGCTGGGCATCCCTGGGTAAAGTCTTCCAAAGGGGCACAAAGTCCTAACGTGTCACCACAATCCCGCTGCCCTGGCAAGGGGTGGGGCCCGGAGGGGCACGGCCATCAGGCTGCTCTCCTCAGTCATTATTCAGAGGCAATCTTCTCCCCAAGCTGGCCGATCTTCCCGCAGCCCTGTCTGCACCGGGGCGCACGGCAGAAAGTCTCCCGCCCCAACGCCTGTTCACTGTCTTGAGGAAGGAAGCAGGCTCTCTGATCAATATCAGCGGCCGCAGTGTCCTGGGCGGCGGCAGGATCTCGGCGGGCGCAGACTCCAGACTCCTCGTGGCTTCCAAGGAGGTGTCTGACGTGAGGGCTGCGGCCCAGGCAGCAAATACTGTTGGCAACAGACGTATCGCGTCCAAGCTTGGGAGCACGTCCTGGCCTTTCACAGAGCTGCACGTCCCGGGGGGCGGGGTGCGGAGGACCCCTTCCTGGCCGTACTGCGTGACCGTGAAGGACAGCGCGGCCCTCGGCCCGCTCACTGGTACTGCAGGTAGTTTTTGAGAGACTGAGGCAGCGGCAGGGAGCCGATGTCCTGGAGGCGCGGGCGGCCCAGCGCCGAGCGGATGCATCTCCGGCACAGGTCCATCAGCGGCAGGGGCTCGGCTGCAAGGACAGGGAAGCGGGTTAGCGTCTCGCCCGTGCCTTCCTCCCACCTCCCCTCCCCCGCCCACCCGCTGCACACCACAGGCCCACCTGCTCCTCGCAGCGGACCTTCAGGGCCCCGGGCTCCTCCTCTGAGGAGGCTTCTCTGGTTACATTAGCTGCAGAAGGCTTAGAGCAGTGTTTTTCAAACTCTGGGATGCAAACCAATTAGACTAAAGAATCGTGGGGTCAATTCATCGGGTGGTGACCAGCAATTAAAAGAACAAAAAGAAGAAAGAGAAATGGAGAGCAATGCCCATAGCAAGGGCAAATATTGTTCCATGAAAGTTTTGTCTCCCATGTGGGTTTTTAGTGGGTCTCAGTGTAAGAAATACTTCTCTCTGCAGGTCGTGATAACAATGAGAGCCGCTGACCCAGGGTGGATCTACAAGGGCTTCCTCTTAAAAACAGGGTAGGTCAGGGGAGGCTGTTTGAAATGCCTTTGAACCCTCAAACTTATCCTATAGCCTCTTTTGATGGTCAGCAGAGGGATGCATTTTCTCCCAATATCCAGTTCTGGAAAAATTCATGAATTAAAATCCATAAGCCATGGAACCTCTGGACGTAGGACCGAGTTTAACTAGGTTTATTGCAGACATACTTATTAAGCTCTTATTCTCTTCCAGGCCCTTTGATTGGCCCCGGAGATAGAGAGACAAGTAAGCCAAGGCCAGAGGGAGCCCTGGAAGTGGAGGAAGGCTCGTGGTCTGGGAGTTTAAACAGGTGAATACCTGTAATAGAGTGTGACCTACGCAATAATTCCTAAATGCATAGGGCCAGAAGCTGGGCAGTTCCTGCATGGAAGAGTTGTTTCAAAACTTCAAAGAGAGGATACTTGAAGGGGGTTTTGAAGGGTGAATAGGAGTTTTATGTGATGTGAGGTTGGGGAGGGTGTTCTAGGCAGAGAGAACAGGCAAAGGCACAGAGGCATAAAACAGGACAGGCTGGGAGGTCTGGAGGAGAGGAATGGTGCCACTCAGCTGGATCAGCAATGAAGATGATGGTGGTCACACATTGTCTCGTACGGCTTGTACAGGCCTAGTTTCCCAGGCCTAGAGGAACGTGCTAGAGGCCTGAAGCTGCATCTTAACACTTTTTTGGGACCTAAACAAGTGATATTTTAAAAGCATTCTATAATGTGTTAAGATATAATGAAACCATACATGGTAAATACTGACACAAGAGTTGTGATGGGAATACTATCACAAGGGAGGGGAGCTGGTCAAGAGTGTTTCGTAGGGATTTCCACTGACTAGAGCTGCAGCGTTAACAAAGAGAGCCATTAGGATGAAGCGGGACTCGGCTGGGGCGTTATGCACAAGAGTGTATCCAGCTCCCCCTCATATGAGGCGAGGCCGCATGGGGCAAATCTGCATGGAGTGTTGGTGGCTTTAAACACTGTCACCTGCGTACCCTCTTTTGATCCTCACACAGACCCTCTCGGTTGGCCAGGGAGGCCTGGGCATCCCCTTTTCCAGGCCCAGAAGGCAGATCACTCACTCCAGTCACATGGTCTCACAGTCACCATGCCTAGGCCCACACTTGACACCCCCCGAGGCGTCCCCATTTCTCCCCTAGCAACACCCCTGCACCCAGCTCTCCTGCTCCCTTTCCATACCTGGTTCTGCTCCCAGCTTTGCATGCCCCCCAAATCATGCTTCTGTGAACCCCTGCCCTCCCCCTGACCCAAATCCTCCCGTCCTCCACATCTTGCTGGAAGCTGACCTCCCCCTGCAAGGTTCAGGGTCTCCGTTTAGTTCCCATAGCCCAGTGCTGCCTGTGCCACTGGATGCTGGGGAGAAAGAAAACCAACAGACCTTGTTAAATGAGCAGCTGCTACCTACCTACCAGGTAGTGTGAGGAACGCAAGGGACTTGTAGCTGCTCTTTACGGAAGGCTTGTCAGGGGGCCAGGTGCTGTGCTCAGCTCTGTATTTGTATCAGCTCACAGGCATGTATGTGAGCTCAAACTCAGACCACAACAACCTCTTGGGGTCGGAACTATTATTATCATCCTCATTTTAAGGAGGAGGAAACAGAAACACAGAGAGGGTAAGTCACTTGCACAAGGACATACAGCTGGCAAGTGGTAAAGCCTGAAGTCGAACCCAGGCAGCTGGAAGCTGGAACCTGTCTTATATCTTAACCACATTTATTGAGCATCTCTTCTGTCCCCTTTGCTACGCTAGGTTTATCTCATTTAGATGTGACCGTGCCTACTTTAGAGAAAGGAAACTGAGGCTCAGAGAGATGTCCAGAATCACACAGCCCCAAAGCCTATATTTAGAGCTGCGTGCTGCCTCCCTGAAACACCGTGCTTTAGAGTGAGAAGTGAAGGAGAGGGTCTCCTGTCTCCCAGGCGCACTGCAGAATATGACACAGTCCACAGGCTCTTACTCCGGCTCCGACCCCTTCCCAGCTCACCCTCGCCCACCTCTCCTGCGGTGAGGTCTGCACCCACCTCAGCCGCTGCCCTGCAACCAAGATGCCTCTTCTGCTCCCACACCCATCCATTCCAGTGTGGACCCCGCCAGCCACATTCCCGTTCTCATGCTCTTCGGGGCCATGTTGGACCCCACCTCCTCCGCACATGCCCTCCTGGGGATCTCCAGGAATCTGGAGTCTCTGATTTTGAGCTCTGCCAACTACAAGTTTGTGCCTTTGGGAAGCGTACTCTGAGCCCTTGTTTCTTCATCTGCAAAGTGGAGCAACAATTCCCAGGTTACAGAGAGGATGGAAGGAGAGGGCAGGTGCACAGGGCCTCACCCGGGGCACCATGTGAATGGGAGCTCTGGAAGCGCTGGTCCCCACTCACGGCCGTTGGCGGCACACGCCTGGGCACCGTGCACCACCCTGACCGGACGTGCTCTCTTCCTCTACTCAGACAAAGGTGGCAAGGATTTTCAGTTTCATTCATTTATCAATGAATGGTCACAAGGAGACTCTGAACTTCTTAAAGGACATGACCCTGACCCATCTCTCTTAGGATCCCCACCCCCCAGCCTGGGCCTGTCACAAAGGGATGGCCCACAAATGTCTGCTAAATGAAGGTCTGACTTGCTGCTTTGGGCATGTCTTCCAGAGCTGTTTTAAGCTATTGAAAGGAATTGCTCTTACCTGGCGGCATTTCTGCCTTAGCTCCCCGCTCTCCTGTGAGCCCCCTGAGAACAGGGCAGGTGCTAACTGACCAGAGGCTCGTGGTGAGGGTCAAATGAGTTAGGAAGTGGAAAGCACTTGACACGGTGACCAGCACACAGTAGGTGCTCCACAGGTGCCCTCCTAGCTCTCTCCTCCCATCTGGGCATTTGGTTGGTGGCCCTTTGTGAGGATACGCTTGGGGAGGGCCGTTAACAAGGTCGGCTCTGGCTGGGGGCCAGAAGCTCCTTCTCCGAGTGAGGGGAGATGGGCTTGCATTTTGCGTCAGGAAATTTTGAGCTGTTAACGTTTGATCATCATTGCCAGAGCTTCAGAGCTTTCTGAATCCCTTCAAAATTCTCAGCACATACCGGCTCCTCAACGCCTTGCGCCTGAGCCTTGTCAGCACCCAATCCCTGTGTGTCCCCTGCCTGGTTAGGAGCTGAAGGGGAGGGAAGAGCCCCGTTTATCCTCATTCCTCTGCAGTCACTGCAGTCAATCCGGAGCCCAAACGCGAAAGGAAGCGAGACAGAGATGGAGTTCAGAGCACGTCTCAGCTCTAAATGTGAACTATATCTCATCCTCCCTCACTTCTGGGGGAACTTCACACTGACGACTGCACGGCGAGCCCCAGTGCACAGAGAAAGCTGGTGGTGCGGCTGTGGGGCTTCCAGAGCCCCGAGGATGCCCGGTGTCGGATGCCGACCTCCGACTCCTCTTTCTCACTCCCGCTGGCTTTGGAGCCCTTTGCAGAACTGCCAAATGTCGAGGCTTAGAAATGATCACCCCGGTGGGGAGAGAAACAGAATCTTTCAGCATGGGAGCCATTCTCAGAAATATTTTCTGACTAAAGATAAAATTAAGAAGGAATCATTGTTTGCAAAAGCAAATATCCAAATGGCCAATAAATATACGAAAAAGTGCTCAACTTCATGAATCATCAGAGAAGAGCAAATTAACACCATCATGTGACTCTGCTGTATCCAACCAGAATGGCTAAAACGAAAACCAGACAGCAAGTGCTGGTGAGGATGTGGAGCAACTGGAACTCTCGTAATGCTGCGGGGGAGGGGGGGGGGCATGTAAAATGGCGCAACCACCTTGGAGAACTGGGAGCATCTCCTACAGCTGAACCTACGGCCTGCGGGTTTACTCTGGCGGACACGCTCACCAAAGTGCACGTGCACAAGCGCTCATAGAAGCAGTATTTGTATCCGCACGGAACCGGAAACAACAGCTCTACTGTCCATCAACAGTGGAATGTATACATAGACTGTGCGTCTTCACCAGTGGAATACTCACCAGCCCTGAGAAAGAAGGAACCACAATCACAGCAAAAACATGCGAATCACTCAAACATAATTTTGAGTGACCGAAAAGTACATTTTGTGTGACTTCATCTGTATAGAGTTCAAAAACATGATGACCAAGTTAGGGCAGGGGTGACATTGGGGGAGCAGTGATGGGGGAGGCAGGAGGGAGCTCCTCGTGGGGGGTGTTGTTCTGCTCCTTTATCTGAGTCCTGCTACACCAGTGTGTTCAGTTGGTAAAAATCATCAAGCTTCATCATCTGAGATTGGTACACTTTTGGCATATATGTTCTACTTCAAAAACAAGTTCACATTAAAAACAGTAAGTCACTGACCGAGTTAGGAGTGCCTCGGCTCCGCAGTGGTGGGTGTGGACACAACGCAAACCAGGCATCGTCCCACCTGCAGCAATGGGGCCAAGTGGGGAAGGCGCTGCCTTGGAATCCCAGCTCCCGTTCCCACAGGTGGGCCAGAGAGCCGGCTCACCTTCTCAGAGCCACGTTTTCCTCATCTGTGA